TAGTGCCCCTGCTGCCCTGGCCCCTTCAGGCCTGGGCACCGCAAAGAAGGGCTGGCTCCCAGAGGTGTCTTCCAACCCTATTCACACCTTAAAAAAAAAAAACAAAAAACGTTATTTTTATCAGAAAGTCAGATTTACAGAGAGACAAAGAGAAGATCATTCATCCGCTGGCTCACTCCCCAAGTGGCCGCCACAGCCAGAGCTGAGTCAATCCGAAGCCAGGAGCCAGGAGTTTCTTCTGGGTCTCCCACGCAGGTGCAGGTTCCCAGGGCTTTGGGCTTTGGGCCGTCCTCGACTGCTTTCTCAGGCCACAAGCAGGGAGCTGGATGGGAAGTGCAGCAGCTGAGTGGGAATCGGTTCCATATGGGATCCCAGTGCATTTAGTCACTAGGGCATGACAGCAGGTCTCCTAGCCACACTTTTTTTTTACTGTTCTGAACTTTTTCCATCTCTTTTCTCATTTCAGGACACCACAACAGCTCATTGTGGTTAGCAAGATTCATGAGGGGAGGAGAAAAAGAATGATGTGTGAAAGAAACTTTGGAAAGGTGAGAAGTCTCCTGCTGCCCGCCAGAAGTTCCCTGGGGCTCCATGCAGTCCCTCCGTGCAGAGTCCCTCGTGGTCCACGGCTACCAGGGGCAGCCGGAGTAGATTCCAGGAGCAAGTCAGACCATCATTACCAAAGCGTTCACAGGTTTGGGGATGATCAAAGTGTCCAAGCATGGTAGAATTTTAGATTCCTCTTTTTTTAAAAAAAAGTAGTAAAGTATATTTAAAAGGTGAGGAAATCTCAGCTACAACTGGGCTGTTTGGGGATAAGAGCAGTCCAGGAGCAAAAAGGTGGGAAGAGAGAAATGCTTCTAGCTTCCATCCTGTGCCTTGGGTTGGAGAGAGAAGTCTCCTTCCTGTTGCCAGGCCACCTAGGAGCCTGGAAGGAGAGTGGTTGACATCATAGCACTCCCAGGGGGAGGGAGCATGCCTCGGGCAAGGGGTCACTTGATTGTCATGGACACCTCTTGACTGGACGTGCAATACAGATCTGTGAGGCAAATACACCTTTTCTCCTGACTACAGTTGGGCTGCTTTGCAGGGAGTCCGTGTTCCTAGGACATCAGAGGGAATCCTGGGCACAGCCCCCCAACACGCCTGTGAAGGAGCTACTGAGTGGGACATCTGTCCACTGAGAGTCTCCGGCTGTTTGTGTAGAAAATGGAAAGAATGTTCCACAGAGGCAGAAACAGAGTGACTGTTGGTCATGCAGATGCCCCCAGCACTCCGTATTTCAGCTTGCCCTGGACCCAGACATGATCATTTATTTCTTAGGTTTGTAAAAGTGACCAAACTTACTTGGCTGATTTTATTCTTCCTCCCCCCTTAAAAAAGTAACAATAAAGAGATAATCTGAGACAAGATCTTGACAAAATTTACCTAAAGGGATCCCTGGCCTAGCTGTTTGCAATGACAGCCGTGAGGTAGCTACTGCATTGCACGTTGGCAACACTGGCATCCCGTGCTGGAGGGCTGGTGTGAGTCCCCGCTGCTCGGTTCCCCTCTTACCGCACATACGCATTTGGCCTGACCCAGCTCCAGCTGTCGTGGTAATTGGGAGAGTAAACCCATGGATGGAAGACCTCTTTCTCTCCTTCTTTCTATGTCACTCTGCCTTTCAAAAATAAATATTTAAACCTTAAAAAAGTTCAATGATTCAAAAAAATTGAAATTCTAATTACCATGGGTTCAAACAGTTCCACTTCTGCGTATCTATCCAAAGAACCAAATGTGAGGGCTGCAACAAGTACTTGTACACGCAACTCATTTCATAGCATTGTTCCCAACCGCTAAGATTTAGAAATATCTCAAGTACCCATGTTTGGATGAGTGGCTAAAAGATAGCATATATGTGCAATGGAATATTGTTTGAGTTAAAGGATTTAGAAAATGCTAGGCTAGTTACTAAGATGTCAGGTAACATGCCTTGGTTCTCTCTTCAAATTCCTGGCTTCATGCCCACTTTTGGCTCTTGATTCCAGCCTTCTCCTAATTTAGACCCTGGAGGTACCAGCCATGTCCTCACATGGGAGATCTGGATTGGATTTCTGGCTCACTATCTCACAGTGTTAGACCAGCCCAGCCATTGAAGGGTTTTGAGAAGTGAACTAGCAGATTATGGGATTCTCTCTCTTTCTCCTTCTTCCTCTTCCTCTCTTTCAAATAGTTTTTTTTTTTAAGTTGAAAATTCTGGTACATGCTACAATACAATATGCTTGGACCTTAAGGAGTTTATGCTAAGTGGAATAAGACAATCACAAAAGGTCAAGTATTTGACTCCTCTTATATGAGGAATCTAGAGTGGTCAAATGGTGGCACCAGGGGCTAGAGGTCATGAGTGATGTTCTTTGACAGGTATAGAGTTACAGTCAAGGAAGATGAAAAAGTTATGAAGCTAAACACTGGTGACAGTTGCACAACAATGTGAAACATTTAGTAAGTACCATAGAAATGTACACTTAACAATAGTTCAGATGGTAATTTTTTAAAAATTGGACCATAATTTTAAAATTTTGCCTTTAAAAATCCAAATATGTGAACAGTCTGACAAGAACCACCCATAGTACATGTTACTCACAGAGAGAAATGTTAGCTTATAAGAAACAAATGGAAATCAAACAAGGAATTATCAAAAGGGAGAGTCAACCAAATGCCACAAGGCAGGATATCCCTGGCCTGTTTGGTCCCCTTACCATTCACGATCCCCAGAAGTGTTTCCACTCTAGGTAACCAGCCTTAAGTGTTTGCTTATCAGATCACTTGGCAACCCCCTGGCCAGACCACAAACATCATTAACTGCTTTCTAAAATCCCTTCAAATGTATGCAGTAACCTGTGGATCCTTCCATACCATGGATTAAGTGGGAAGTGTCAGCTCAGCCCTCATGCTGCCTGCTGTGCCATGCCGCTCTTGCACTTTGCTTTAATCATCCTTTATTGGTGCAGAAGTATCCTATAAGATTTTCTCCCCCACAGGATTCCTTTGTTTTCTGCTTCCTCTGTGGCCTATTTAGTGGCTTTACTGGAATTCCTGCCTGGAAGGTTAAAGCACAATACATGAATCTGCTTGCTTATTCCCACTGTCTTTTCCCTTTCTCCCTCCTGCACACAAGTAAAAACCTAAACTTTGACTTTCTTTTTTCTCATCGAATTCCTTTTTTAGGAGTTCTAATCCTAGCCCTTCTCCTACATGCCTGTGATTGGCAGATAAATATAGAGAAGGTCACACACATAGAAATGCAAAACAGAAGAGCATGTTGGTAGATTTTAAAAAATTGAATAAGATAAGCTGATTTGAGCTATGGGGAATGTAATTACTTATGCAACCAAATAACTCAGACTTCCAGGCCAGGCTTTATCCAGTTGCTGAAATGATGGGATGAGGACCTAATTCCTGCTTCTCGATCCTGCTTCCTCATGGTTGGCTCCTTTCTTGGCAGGCTTCTCCCCCTGTGTGCCAAGATAATTGCCAGAGATTCTGAACCCACATGCTTTCTTGTTCACATGAAAGGAAAGAGAAATTTCTCCTTTCCTACTTGCTGAACCAAAATCTAACCTTAGTCTGTCGGACTTACTCTTTCCTGATACAACAAAGAAATCATATCTCATATCAATATTACATTTCTTTCTTTCTTCCTTGCTTCTTATTCTCTTTCTTGTTTTGCAATTTTTATTATTTATTTACTTTTTTTTTTTTGAAAGGCAGAAGAGCAGAGAAGAAGAGACAGGGAGAGGTAATCATCTATGCACTTATCAATTCCTCAAATGCCAGCGACACCTGATTCTGGGTCAGGATAAAGCCAGTCGCTGGGAGCTCCATCTGGGTCTCTCATGCGGGCGTCAGAGATCCAAGCCCTTGAACTATCCACCAGCTGTTTCCCAGGGTGCATGCTGTCAGAATGCTGAACCAAAGCAGAGCAGACTGGGTGCTGGTGTGGTGTAGCAAGCTCATCAATGTCCCATATGTATTCTGGTTCTAGTCCTGGATGCTCCACTTACCATCCAGCTCCCTCCTAATGGCCTGGAAAAGTGAAAGAGGATGGCCCAAGACTTTTGACCCTTGCCCCTTCACCCACATAGGAATCCTGTAAGAAGCTGGCTCCCAGCTCCGGCTCAGCCCAGCTCTAACTGTTGTGACCATTTGGGGAGTGAACCAATGGATGGAAAATCTCTCTATCTCTCCCTCCCTCTCTCTTGCTAACTCTGACTTTCAAGTAATATAAATACATCTCTTTTTAAAAATCAGACTTAAATCCAAGCATTCTGACATGGGATACAGGCTTCCCAAGCAATAACTCAGCTGTTGTGTCAAACACACACCTGCAACTTCCCACTTCTAAAGCATTAGGATTCCCTCAAGTGTGGGATCATGGGAGTCAATATTAGATATAATTGTCAAGGAAAGGAGAAGTGTGTGTTGAGAGCTAAGAAGTAGCAAGTGCCTACCAGATACAATCTCACTTAACTGCTCAACAAGCATTTGTGCACAAAATGCTGAGAGAGGGGAAGCAGACAGAAAGAATTGACTCCTGGCAAGGCTCCCCCACAGCCTGCACTCAGGGCTCAGGATCCAGCTGACCCCGAGTCTTGCTCTAGTAGTCCCTTTCTAAGTAATACACAGAAATAGAGCTCTCTCCTGGGAATCTCCTGCTCACAGGTAATTGTGAAAATACAAAGAAAAAGCAATTAAGAGGAGTGAGAAAGGAGTCAGCAGGGCATAGGTGACCCATTCTGTCTTCCTACCTTTGCCCCTCTGCCCCTCCATTACCACCGTTCTACTCTTTCCAAACACAAGGAGTTAGCATGCCACCAAATTTTCTAACTCCAATATTTAACTTCTCATCTCCATTATCCCCCAGAGAATTTTCATCTTGGAATTCAAGATTTGATTTTTCATGCTGGGTTTTTAATATTATAAGTGATTATATATATCACAGGAAGTAGACCGAACTCAGTCTGTGGGTGCTCACTGTGGGCTGTTTTCTTAATCTGACCATATAGAAAGAGGCAGAGTAAAACTAACCCATGCATACCACAGCCCTGGAACTCGTCTGTATTGTAAAAGAAGAGACACAAGGAAAAAAAAAGGAATTCTTCTTCAGCCGTAAAGTGGTTTATGAACCATTTTAATGATCTTTAAAGTGATGAGGACATTCAGACTGGCAGGCTGCCCACACAGCATGTGGTGTCGGGCCCAGACTGCCACGGAGAGTTCTATTGTTAATGCTGCTGCGTGGCAGCTGTGCGACTGACATTAACCCCGCTGGCCCTTCCAGTTCCTCATCTCTAAAACGATAGAATGAGAAGCCAGCCTTGGGTTTCTAAGATACTGGCATCACATATCAGGGTGACTGTGAGCCTGAATCTAGTTCATCTCCAGCTTCCTGCCAATGCAGACCCTGGGAGTGGTGATAGCTCAAGTGATTAAGTTTCTGCTATACCCAAATGGAAGACCCAGCTGGAGTTGCCCAGTTGCCAGATTTGGCCTGTCCTCATTTCAGCCATTGCAGTTATTTGGGGGAAATGAAACAGCCTGTATTCTCCAACTGTATGCTTCAATCTTTGTCTTGATGTTTAAATTGTAGACTTACACTTGATGTTCTCTAAGCTCTTTTTACCTTCAATACCCTAAGGTTTTCTATGAAACTGATTTCATTTTTTTAAAGTCAGATATACAGAGAAGAGGAGAGACAGAGAGGAAGATCTTCCATTTATTGATTTATGCCCCAAGTGGCTGCAACAGCCAGAGCTGAGCCAGTCTGAAGCCAGGAGCCTGGAGCCTCTTCCAGGTCTCCCACACTGGTGCAGGGTCCTAAGGCTTTGGGCCGCAGGGAGCTGGATGAGAAGCCGGGCCACTGGGATTAAAACCAGAGCCAATCTGGGATCCCAGCGCATGTAAGGCAAGGACTTTAGTTTCTAGGCTACCTGCCGTTTTATTTTTTTTTTTTTAAAGAGTTATTTATTTGTTTTCATTGGAGAGGCAGATCATATAGAGAAGAGACAAAGATCCTCTATCTGCTGGTTCACTCCCCCAGATGACTACAGCAGTCGAAACTGAGCACATCCAAAGCCAGAAGTCAAGGACTTCTGGGTCTCCATGTGGGTGCAGGGTCCCAAGACTTTGGGCCATCTTTCTCTCCTTTCCCAGGCCACAAGCAGGAAGCTGGTTGGGAAGTGGAGCATTTGGGATACAAACTGGAGCCCAAATGGGATGCTGGCACTTGGAAGGAGAGAATTAGCACGTTGAGCCAACACATCAGTTCCTTACATGTGTTTCTAAAAAAGTTCTCCTGATTGATGAAGGTATTTGCTAATGAGGTAGTCTATATGAATTAATCAGAGGACTGACACTGGAGCAGCCTATTTTGCATAGACATTCAAAGAATGCTCAGTTAGGCCCAAAGTGGGCAAGATATTATGCAGATGCAACATCTGAAGATTGTATTGGCTTTGTTTCTCCCTTCTCACCCTCTCCTGGCTCTTGAAGGGTTATTTACCTTTCTTCCTTTTCTTTCCAGGGACTCCTGGAATCCCTCTCATTTAAGTTGGGAGTAGGTTTTGGCTACACTGACTTAGCAAGATGCTTTTCTAAAACTGGATTTTTACAAGGAAGTGCTCAGATGGACCTGGGAAAGGGTTCAGGACCCTGACTACTGTCTGGCTGGGCAAAGACCCCTTCGTGGTCAGCACTGACCCTCTTTCCAGTGTCTGGTGAGCCTCAGACAGCAGGTACATGACCTCAGGGGGCAGTGTGCACTGGACTTCAGGGATCCTCAGCTCCTTTGCGTTGTGGGCAGGATTCCCTTCTCCTGACACTCCAGGGAAAAAGCTTCTCCCATCACCTGTTTCCAGGAGGAGAGAGCGGCCAGGGAGGCACATCCAAGGCTTTGCCTCATAGCACCTAAACCAAAATAACAGCTAGAAAGTAGGGATTAACTTTCACTCTCTCTCTCAGAATCTCTAAAAACAACAAGAATTTTCTTCTAAGACATTAATCCACAAAAAAAAAAAAAAAAAAAAACAAGAGAAAATAACAACCAAATCTCAGAAATTAGAGACTGCGCGGACAGATAGTAAACCAGTTTGGCAGATGCTAGCAAACTGAATCCTAGGTGTAAAATGAGAAGCAACTTGATTTACCCATTGAAACCCAAAGCCTCAGAAATTGGCAGTATCAGGCATCTCTAGAGTGGAACAGTGATGAAGGATCAAGATGAATAAAACTGGGGCTGCCATCATGACATAATGCATAAAGTCACAGCATCCCATATGGAAGCTGGTTCTAGTCCCAACAGCCCCATTTCTGATCCAGCTCCTTGCTAATGTGCCTGGGGAAGCAGCAGAAGATGACTCAATTCTTAGATTCCTACCACACACTCCACACATCCCTGCATGGGAGACCTGGAAGAAGCTCCTGCCTCCTCGCTTTTGGCTTCAGCCTGGCCAGCCATAGAAACGTGAACCAGCAGACGGAAGCACACACCCTCTCTCTCCCTCCTGGAGAACTTTGGGCCTCTGCTCTCAGGGAGGAAAGGAGGAAGACCTGGAGTTTCTGTGGTGGAAACATCAGGCACAATGGCGGAGAGGACGATGTGATGGAGATGCTTATCCACTAGTCCTCTTCTCCCTTCCAGCTCACAGAACACTGGCAAGCAGGCCTGCATTATTCAGGGATAAAAGAGTCATTCTGTGGGCATTTGGGCAAATCCCAAGAGGAAAACTGCAATTCTGACATGAGGATTTGCCACTTGTAATTTAAAAAAATGTTGGAAACAGTGAGATGGTTAAGAGTCCCTGTAAAAGAAGCAACAGGACAAAATGATACAGTACAGAAAAAAAAAACCTTAGAAAACCCATTCTGAAAATCCTATATCAAATAAAGAGTCCAGAAACAGAGTAAACAAAGCAGAACAGCAGAGCTCATCCTTGAAATCCTTTGGTATGCTCACGTGGGTTGCAGAAGGACAGACACTACAGCAAACCAACACCAAGGCATAAATCTTAAAGGAGTTTCAGAACCCTGCCAACAAACACATCATCTTAAAGATTCTGGAAGAAAAAACCTAACCCTGTCATGGTTTTTAAAAACTAGAAATCAGAAATCTTGGAACTTCCTGTCAAGCAACCCCCATGCACTGAGAGCTTCTAAAATAATTTTCTGAAGTGTGAGTCAAAGACAATGGTCAGAGGAAATTTGTTAGTGACAACTAAAAAAGAAAGAAGGAAAGAGAAAGAAAGAAAGAAAGGAAAGCAAGCAAGCATAGGAATTGGCATGGTGGTGGTGCAAACTAATCCTCTCATTGTAGTGCCAGCATCTCACATGGGTTCCAGTTTGTGTCCCACTGCTTCACTTCTGATCCAGCTACCTACTTATAACCTGGAAAAGTAGCAGAGGATGGCTCAACTCCTTGGCTCCCTGCACCCAAATGGGAGACTCAGAGGAGGCTCTTGGCTCCTGGCTTCACATTGGCGCATCTCTGGCTGTTGCAGCCATTTTTGAGGGTAAACCAGCAGATCAAAGATTTCTCTCCCTCTCTTGCTTGCTATTGCTCTGTCTCTCCTTTTCTCCCTCTTCTTCGTTCTGTAATTTTGCCTTTCAAATAAAAATAAATAATTTTTTAAGAGGCAGGGCATGTTCTAGAAATCTAAATCTCTCACCCTTACCCTCTATTCCCTGAAGCATCAGCAGGATTGGGGATCCAGAGCCAGGGACTGCCTGCTCAGCCATCCCAGAGTCCTTCCCTTGGGCTCCAGCTTCACCTTTCCTAGTTCACAGTTCCCCGCCGAGCCCCCGCCCCCTCCACGCAAGCACAGGTTTGATCTGAGGGTTTGCGTCATGCTGCTATTCTTGAGAGCAAACATAGTTAGTTATGGCTCTGCCCAGGAAATAGGCAAAGATTCCAAGAGCTAAGGCCTTGCCAGTAGGGAGCTGCACTTCTTTCTGGACAAGAGTCAGATTAGATTTAGTGACAAATTCTAAATTGGTATGAGACTTTGCCATTTCCTTGAAGCATAATGCTCCATTGATTACAAGCTGAGTCATATATCGAGCCTGCTTCTCACACTGTCAGCGGGAAGTGTATTTCCTGAATGACTCCCAGCAGACATTTATAGATTTTTCAGTCTGTTGAGTTATAAAAGATAACCAAAGTCTTTTTTTTTTGCCTGAAGACCTTTAAATAAATCTTGATTTCAACTGCTAAGCCACTGAACATAATTATATACAACACATGCGCAGCAATCTGCATGAGAGTGAGAGCGAGGTCACAGCAGTGGGAAAACAGGAAAGGTTGGAAACGAGACCAAGAAGAGAGGATGGAGGAGCACAGCCCACCTTCCAGCTCGTTCCTGTTCAAGAGGCAGAACAAGAAAAATTAACATTCAGGGAATTAGAGAAGGCAAAGACAGGAATGCGTACCAGGACAGGAAGTCAAAAAAGAACATTTCAGGAAAGGGGAGCAGACCCACCCAGTGCCCCATCTGTTCACTTTCAGGTGTTATGGGGTGGGACACTTGACCTTCGCTCTCGGAGGGCCTTTGACTACTGAATCCCACGCTTCCCCATCTGATGCAGCGGCCACGATGAAGTACTTAACAGAATTGGTGCATAAATATCCCAGACACAGGCCATTCGGCCCAGAGATTACGAGTCCTGTGTTGGAGTACCTGACTCTGCAGCTGGGTTTCACTTCCTCCTAATGGACACCCTGGGAGGCAGTGTGGCACTTCCAGGAGCCTAGTTCCTGTCACCCACGTTGGAGATGTGGTTTGAGTTCCCAGCTCCTGGGGTGGAGCTGAAATGTACGCAGTCAGAATGATAAGAAATTTGCTTCAAGTACCAAGCTCAAAAGCTACCAGACTTCTGGACCTGTTCCCATAAACTTCTGTAGGTTCAAAGTAGGAATCTGTTGCTCACCTTCTAACCAGCTTTCCCACAACTAGAGTATTCTTGCAACAAGGGATGTGAGGACTTAACCATCAGATAGATAGTCCATCACCTTGGGCCCGGCACGATGGCGCAGTGGTTAAGGTCCTCGCCTTGCACGCCCAGGATCCCATATGGACGCCGGTTCTAA